CTGAGCTCTTCAGAAAATGTATGCTTATGACTGTCCCCCATTCAGGTCAGCTGCAACACATAAGTATTATTACAGGTCAGTCACACCTGTGCTAAAAGCAGAAAACATTGTACAGGTATGACTGACTTCAACTAGACCTCAAAGTATTCTTGAGAAGGAAAGGATTAAGCTTGCTTTTTTACCTCCTGAGCTGAGCTCTAAGGGCTGATATTTGTTTAAAGAAAAAGACTATTACCTTGCTCCACAGACAGTGAAGAAAGAGCATATCAATGTTGTGTAATGCTATTTTTTGCGCTGCTTTTTCAAAATAAAGTCACGTTCAAGCAAGGGTGAGGATTCCTACCAATGCAGAAAAAATTAGGAGGGTAAATCTTGTGCCAAGGAGCACTGGAAAACTTGGTACTACAGAGAGTATTACTGGGGGAAAAATCCTTGGCAGCTTCTTAAAAAAAAACAGCATATGTATTCTCTAATGAAACTTAAAGTTGAACATGTGTGCTGTTCCAAAATTGAACTTTATGGAATATAACTACTTGTGGCAAACTATTGCAAAATTTACCATCCTAATCTTCATATGTTCCTTATACCAGTGTAAATGTTAGGTTCTATCAATGTGTACGTTTCAGGTCTCACTTCTCAATACTGATCTCGGTTCCTTCCTGGCCTTAGGCATGAATTCAGATTGTGCGTACGAATATAACTAATTTAAAGCTGAATACCTGGTCTGGTGTGTGATGTTTGTGGGGCACTGAAAAAGAAATGCCAGAGATCATATTACAATACAAAGACAAAGAAAATTTTTGGGAATTCAGGAGATGTCACAGTGATTTCTGCAGGAAAAAATGAAATAAGCAGATGTTGTTTGTATATTCAATAACAAGGAATATGATTAAAATTCCTATAAATCAAATATTGGTTGTTTATGTATGTGATAATAGACATCTTACTCACTACATCTTTTGTCTTCTTTCTTGTCTAAGAGGCTTCCGTGAGTGTCTATGTTCCACTACTATCATTTTCATCGAGGTTATATTCTGGATCTTGGGGTAATTCTTATTGTTGAAAATCTTGTGAGGCAGTAGAGATTAGAATACCAAGTTTCTAAAAGATATGAATGGTGAACATTGTGTTAACATATTCTGAACTTGGTAATTCCCTGAATGAAAAAGAGCAACAATGGGGCAATCACTGCATGGGCCTCTGCCTACAGTGCAGACCTGTGCCAATGCTTTGGTTGTCATCACATCTTTCTTTTAAACTTGCCTCAGCTGTGAAACATGTACTGCTACTACAAACACCAGTGCTTAATCAGTAGTCAGTATATGATACAGTTGCTTAAACGTTTATTAAACGTTTGTTCCACATACTGTTTTTTCTCCTGTTGTGTATTATCCTTATTTGCTAAGAATGCACATCTTTGGGACAAAGCTGCTTTTCTAGTAGTGTGTCTAGCTCAGCACAATCATGTTTGGGGATATTTGAGCCAATACAAACACTACTTAAATGGCAAGGATCGGAGGCAAACAGAGAATTCTGTTCAACCAACTAAAAGATGTTTAAGCAAATACTAGATTTCTGGAAAGGATCATTTATTTTAAATAACAAGTCTGCATACTCATGTCTAATTCATGGTTTTTGTCAAGTTGCCAGTGCAAGCCCTCAAGGAGTCTTAAACAAAGATAATGCTACTGATATTCTAATTTCTGCTGTTTAATATAGTTTAGTTCTGATGCTTGTTTGGAAAGAAGTAAAGAATATTTACCTCGGATACTGATTATACACATTAAAAAAATATCTCTACAATGGTAACAAAGTGGACTTCTTATTTTTTTATTATTATTATTATTATTATTTTCTTCTTCTCATATATAACCATGAAAAAGGCATGGTACTGCTTTCATCAGTAGTTTCAACTGTAACAAATTCCTTTTTCTTGTCCAGATAGTTTTTGATATGAAGCACGTGAAGGGAAGTAGCACATAGCATTGTACCTTTTACAGAAATAAGCTTTTTACTGGCAGTTTCAGACTTGTAGTTGGTTCTGCTATTTCTTGGATTTTCCCTGGATGATGACAAGTACAATTCTGTCAAGAGGATGTACGTGATCATGGTCCTGAACTAAGGGTAATCTGTAAATGCCCTGCTGTCAAAAGTCATTCTTTGTAGAGACAGAGGTGGATTGCCTTTCTAACAGCACACTACTTGGAAATACGTTGTATTGAGTTGGTTATTTGCAGATCAACAACTGGAAAACAGTGCCAAGGGGCTCCACAGTGTCACGGTTCCTCTTGTTTTTCAGTGTAAATGGTACCAGGCACTCAATAAGAAAACAGAAATTTGCTGTTAATATTTAAGCAACCTTACAAAGGCAAAGAGCTTAGTTTACTTTGTTTTCTAGTATGAATAGTCCTGATCTCCCAAAAGGAGGCAACAAAAGAAAGAACTAATAGACACAACTTGATTCATCAGCTGAAAGACTTATCTAAAGAACCAGGACTTGCATAGCAGAAGGAATAGGAATTATGTGCTTAGCAGGCTTTATCTGGAGAAGAATAAGAGGAAAAGGTGTTTATGAAGAGTGAAGATATTCCCAACTGTCAGAATAGTGCAGAGATTCATAACAGAAATATTAAGATTGGTCTGACTGAGTATGGAAATGTGTGTGTGATATCATGAGAAGAAATAAAAAAGTAAAGGTTACAAAAATGACACACATTTGATAACCAAAGACATAAATAACAGCAAACTGGCAAACACTGAGGAATGCGGTGTTTACATCTGTACAGACCAAAAGGCCTACGTGGTCAGAGGCCTATAGCAGAAATGTCTTACCAGCAGAAAAGCAACCCCCAGTAAAAGGAAGATGGTAGCAAGGTTACAGTAAGTCATATGTCCCATTCCTCTTTTGGTTAGCTCAGCAATGAAAAGGATAATTCATAAAGACATTTTAAAAGAAAGAAACAAAGACAGCAAACAGTGAGCTTGCCTAAAATTTAGAGGGTGAAATAAAAGACTAAGACAAAAAAAAAAAAAAGACAAAAAAATAAACCCAAACCAAAACAGCTCAATAAAAAACCCACATCATAATAACAGTACTACTAAAAAGCACAGAAAATATGTTCAAAAACTGCTTTGCTGCTGTCCAAGGGAATCCAAGAGGCATAGCAATGACTTGATAGTTGGTATTCCTTGAACCTCATATCACAAAACAAGTGATCTTGGCTTGACTACTTGGGCATGAACATTTTGGTGCTTTTTAGTATATAGCAGTATGAGAGAATGACTGAGTGACTGATTTTTTTTTTTTTTTTAAACATAGCTCTACCCTTCCATAAGGTCTTTCACTGCATTTTGTAACATTTAATTCCTACACAAGGATCAGTGTTGCAACCACTTTTACAGACAGTCATACTTGCACACCCTGTCGTTTGCTTTAGTAGGAGGTCATTTCAAGTCAACACTTGTGTGGTGACTAAGCACCTGTCTTTGGGACGGAGGCAGGCCTTTGGTTTTGCTAGATGTTGTCACCTTTCCACTTAGTGTAAATATAACAGGTGTGGCACCTGCCTGGAGAAAGACAATCCTAGATTTAGACTTAGGGTTGCCTGCCTTGAGTGCTTTGTTACATTTTCTTCTTCTAATTTCAGAAGGATACATCCTCCTCCTTCCACATTAATGCCACAACATCCCCCTCACATTTTTCTGAATTCCAGTCAACAGGTTGTGTGCCTGTTTTTCCAGATTCTGCTTTCATGTGTAAATATTTCTATGTGCCTTTCTGCAGCACTACAAATCTTGAATAATGAAGTCAGTGAGGCAGTAACAGATACATTTTTATATCTTATGGTGTATACATAGCTGGTTGAAACACGTAAATCAATGAAAAGTAGTTTTCTCCTTTTAGCATCTCACTCTGATGTTGAGATACTGTTTGTGCTGGTGTGTAACCCATTCAAGGCAGGCATATTTCTGCAAATTAGCAGGCACGCCAAAGGACATAGGAAGCTCTAAAGCAGATATAAAGGTACCCTTGTTGCAACGTAACCCCATCAGAAATAGTGTTACCCTGAGCATGAAGCAGTAACACCTGGCTCAGTGTGTGTTCTCAGTAGGACTGGATGCAGAAGTGAACCAAGGAAGCCTTGCTTTGCCCATTGACGTGATCATGGCTAGTCACGAGATGGGATTACACTGGTTCCAAGTACCATTTTATTTTCCCCCTTGTAGTTCATGCCTCTATGGATACCTTTCCTTGGCCCCTCTGCAACTCCCCACCACTCTGCAGGCTGAGCAAACCACTTCTAGTAACCAGCACTGCCAAAGCATGAAGGTTCATGTCCCTTTGGGTTTTAAAATCTTGTCATTACACGTCTACCTGTTCCTGTTATGTGGATAAAGATCTTTTTTTTTTTTTTTTTTTTTTTTTTTGAATATTGCCAAACACCCGGCCTCAATGATACTGTTTACCAACTAGCTGTCACGCTAGTCAGTACACCAGAGTAACATGAAGTACGGCATCACCTGTAACCTTTGATACTGGATGTGTTTGCGAATTTGTAATATGAAAATTCACAGCTGTAGGACGGTGCGTTTCTCCCTAACCTACCCAGACCTCACCCCTCATGCGCTACCTGCCTTTCCGCCCTACTTTTACACGCAAACACGCCTTACTTCGGCTTCGGGCCCCGTCACGATCTCACGACCGTGGTTGCAGCCGCGTGAGGCGCTCCCCTCCTCACGGCGCGGCTGAGGCGACGGCCGGGAGCCGCCACCGGAGCCCGGGGAGGGGGAAAGGAGGAGCTCGGCAATCCGCGCTCGGGCTCTCCGCGCTCGGCTGGTGACTCCTCGCGGGGGCGGGCACCGTGCCGGGGCCGGGCCGGGGCGGAGCGAGCCCTTTTCAGCCCGGGCGGCCCCGCTGGGCGAGAGGGACGGGACGGGACCGGGAGGGGGACGGGGCGCCGCCGGCTCCCGGCCGCGGGGTTATGCGCTGGGGTAATGGTGCCGCCGGCCGGCGCTAGGCTCCTCCCGCGCTCGGGAGGGAGCTCTGTCCTCAGCATCCTCCTCCTGCTGCTGCTCTGCCCCGGTGGCGACTGCCTGCCGAGACGCCGGCCCGTGGGGCCGCCCGTGGTGCTGGGTAAGAGCCGGGCTGGGTCCCCTGTGGGGTGTGTGGTGGGGGTTTTGGGGTCCTCGCCGTGAGCCGGGGCTGGGGCCCGGCCCTGCGCTGCTCCCCGCCCGGCCGCTGGCTCCTGGGGGCTGCTTTGTGCCCCTGGCTCCCCTCGGGGTTTGACAGGAGCGAGAGGTGGGGCTGGGGGCAGCCTTGTTGCATCTGGTGGCACAGAGACTGGTGGGGAGTGCTGGCCTGGGGGTGCCAAGTCGCTACCAACAGATACGTAGAAAGCCTTCTTGTAAGTCTGGAGTAATTACGTTAGCTGCCCTCTGTGTCCATTGGTAAGAATTGTGAGTAAACGTTAGAGTAATTTGCCTACTGATAGTGCAGTTCCTAAACATCCCCACTGATCAGGTGCATGTGGTGATATTAATGGCAGTAGTCAGTCCTGTAAGCGGATGGTCTGATGATGATAAGGAGGAGAAGAAAATGGGAAAACATTGAGAGACAGAGGCATCCTGTTTGGTTTAACCTCTATTTACACACAATGGCTTAGGTCCTATTGACTTTTTTTTTTTTTTTTTTAACTACTGTTACAAATTCCTGATGGAAAAGGGTAAATGCTGAACAAGAACTTCAGAAGGCACTGTTTATCTGTCAAGCCCATCACGTACAAACTCACAGTTCTCCACAGGCAGGCGGCTGAGCTAACTGAGAGGATGCAGATTTGCAAGAAGATTTGCCGCAAGAAGAAGCGGAAAAAGGATTTCATAAGAGTCTGGAGTTAAAATCTGAACACAAGTCCTCTGACTGCTGTCTCTGAAGGCTAGAAGCAATCTTTTATGCTGTCTCTCCACTCTGTAACACTGGATTTCAGCAATAAGCTTTGGCACTTCAGTGCAAGCTTCCTGATGAAGAGGACAGTTTTAGTTGCCCAATATTCAACTCTAGGTATGAAGGAATCAAGGAAGATTTAAAAGTGGTTGGGATAAGGGATACTGAACATAGTAGCGTCAAGTTCTAGCTGATGGATCTATCATATGCATATACATTACCTAAGAATGTTTTAAAAAAAAAAAATAAAAATGGTTGACCTATTTTTCTCTTCATAAGAGCAACTCTGGGTAAACTATGTGTGGCTGACCATGGACTTATCAGTGAGTCCAGATTTTCTTGCTGTTAATTTTTATCAAACATTATAGAACTTTTATATTTTACTATTCTAGTGTCTGTTCTAAAATTTACTCTTTTCTGCTGTCCAGTCCTTATCTGTCCACAAAGTGAAGATTCAGTTGGTGTTAACGTAATTTTTCAGGCTTGTTGGTACGTTTGGGAAGGTAGGTGCTCTTAGGCAGTCACTTGCTGTAACTTATGTTTGCAAAATACCATGGGGTTTTTGATGCATATAAATCAACATCTTTGTGAAAACACCTGCACCAAGAGCTTAGCTTCAATTAGACATGACATGGCAAGTGAAGGTCAAGCAAATAAAGGAGGAGAGGAAGGAGTGACTGTCGGTCACTCGCTGGCCCCGTATGAAATGTTGCCATCCTGATTCTAGTTAACTTTTCATGACCTTTTCTTCACCCTTCTTGTGTATGTGACATGTTAAGATAAGCTTTTTAGGAATTACTGCCATGAGGATGGTAGGGAGATTTAGGACAGTCATTTAGGGAGGCGTTCTAAGTGCTGGCTTAGCAGAGGTGTTTGGGAGAAAGAAGGGTGGAACAAAAAACACACATTGCCCTGGAATCACAAATGCAGGAGACTAAGGTGTATGCAGGCTGCGTTATATGGGTTGTACAAACCCGGGGTGGTTTTGGAGTCTCTATAAGATGATTCTTCTGATTTATTAGGCTGGTATCTAGACCCTCAATTCTTCACATGCCTTCAATTTTGAACGTATTTTTATTTCGTAGTAAGTGTGGTGTCATGATCTGCACGTTCGCTCTTGATCTGTTTTTATTTATTTATTTATTTTATTTTTTAAGTCCTCTAAGCAGAAAAAGGAGTTGGAAGTTTTGTCTTATTCTGTTCATGGCAAGTTGACCATCTGGTCTGAAGGAATGCGTTTAAAGGAAGGTTGTTAACATAATGATCGTTTCATAAATGTTTTAGACCAGTGGTGGTCATAAGACCCAGTGTAACTTGTTTTCAAAACTTTCCTGTAATGACCAAACTTGCTGCAGCAGCTTGAGCTTACACAAGTAATGGAGAAGGAAGCAGAGCAGTAGTCTGCAAATACGGGACATTGCTTTTATGTGGGTAATGTCATTCTGCTCCCCAAAAAATAGCAAATAACTTCAGGAAATCTCTCAAATCTTCAAATAGATTAGCTGCTTGGATACAACCTTGTAGATACCCTCAGATGGCTGCTGAGATTTTCTTTCTGCGTTGATGACAGATCTCAGATTTGTGGAGCTACCCAACTGGCCTAAGTGTGGGTCTGAGAAACAGCCAAGCCAATCTAATAGGTTCATTAGTGTTCTTTCTGCTTTTATTGTGCCAATGTATTGGCCACTTTGTAGAGTCATTTGTCTGCTAAAGCAGGAGAACACTAACCTGTTGAGGAAGAAATGAGTAATTTTTGTAGCTGAATTGCCTTAATGAAGGAGCTGGCACAAGGAATGCGGAGAGTGGCAACTCTCTTTTTAGATTAAGATGTTTTCTAAAGCTGGTCTGTGCAGCATCAAATGGTGTCTTGGTAGCAGGAGTTATTGTCTGAACATGAAATATGTCTTAAGATCATGTTTGTACATATGAAAGAAGTAAGACTAGGAACCAAACAGATGTTGGTAGTAATTGATTGCAAAAAATCTCCAATGCAATTGGCTCAGCTTTCCCTGAGATTTAAAATAACACACCAAAGTGTATTCATATTGTAGTGAAACCAGGGAAGAATAAGGTAAAAGTCAAAACTCAAAACTTTACTTCCCAAGCCCTGCCTGAAAGTGTGGTATCAAAGACAATGTTTGCTAAAATCTAAGACGACTGTCTTGGAGTTACTCCCTCAAGTGTTTTGGGGGAAGAGAGATCTACTTAGGCTACTGAATTCTTTTTTCTTTTTCCCAAGTGTTCCTATTCAGCCAGGCCGATATATTCATCCACAAAAATCTCCTGTAACAATGAGGACAGCCTACTTAATACCTTTGCTGTATTGACAATATCGATCTCTGAAAATAATAATTTATTCTGTGCCAATGTTTCTAGATACCTGCTTCATGTTCACACACAATTATAATAATCTTGCACTCTTTTATCAGCTGGGTTATGTATTCAACCCGCTTGTCTTCTAGTAAGACATTCCTTTTTTTCTTTATTACTGTTCTTCCCACCTCATTTTCTCACATAGTCCATCCACAGTCACTATGTACTATGCCTTATCAATTTTGGGGTCGATAACCTGTCCTTATAAGATCAGCAGTGGATTCACTGAACTCTTTACCTTTTACAGCTGACTCAACACAATTACTATATCAATGTTCTGATACCTTCTGCAAACAATTTGTTAGGTACTTGGCTAAAGTTTTCTAGAAAGATGCCTAAATGAAGTTCGTTAATAATTGATTTACATGCAAAAGAGGTTTGTCTGAATTTCTGCTGACTGCTAATTAAGGGGCGTGTGTTTGTATGGTCAGCTGCCTAATGTCAAGAGTGATTTAACTGTTCATGCCTCATGTGATCTGAGGTATCTAGAAGTATCATGTGAGATCTTGTTTGCTTTCTTGTTCCTAATTTTAAACACAAGCCTTTTTTTTGTGGAAGTCTGTCACTGAGTCTATAAGCAACTTTGAGGCATTCTCCCTAGAGAACTGTAGTCAGTTTCAAACGAGTTTCCCAGATAACTTGTTTTGAAGGAAGGCTAATTTCTGGAACTAAAAACTTCTCAGTTATTTGAGGAAATATTAGCTAGTAAGTTCTGGTATTTATCCAAAGGCATATCCACTTAGCTAAATGCAGTAAAAAAAAAAAAGTACCAGCTGATAGCCTCTTTGTTCAAAGCTGACTTCTCAAATTTTTCAAATTTTCTAGTTACCAGATTGGAAAATTTGGGGAAAAAGAAGTATCAAGGAAATTTAAAATCATAAAGGATTATTCCTTTTCTTTATGGTTTTGTTGACTGTTCTGTTTCCTGAGGGGTACTGAGGCACGTCACTTTCCAGAGTGCAATTTATTTATTGCCTTCTACTGGGAAGTCATTCAGCACTAACTCTTTAGCAGTGTTATAGATGGGAGTATCAATATTTCCTAAGGTGGTTGTTAGAATTCTCAGATTTGGAGAAGTTGTATCCTCTTAAGCTCTCGTATTTGTGAATGTGCTTTCCATAAAACTTAAACAAATACACATCACAGAAGGAGATCTACTAGTTTCCTCAAGGAAGTTGAGGCAAAAATCAATGAAGGATATCATAACATTGGAAGTTAATTAGATTCATAAATGTATTAGAATGAGTTCTGTTGGGATTATAGCCTTTGCGAAAAGTGAGAGTAATGCTAAAACTTACAGATCATCAAATCTAATGGAAACTTTTTTTCTGCCCAATGTGAAATCCCTGTTTGTTTCCAGGTGTTGCAGTTTATTAGTTAATACCTGCAAATTAGGGAAGCAGTGGTACTGCTTGAGATCTTTTTCCGAATGTTCAGTTTTAACTAGTGCCAATGTATTTTGCAGGACTTCACTTGCCAGTTACCTTAGAAATTTATGGAGTCGGTCTGTGGGCCTTAAAAAGTAAGAACAGTCAGCAATAATTCTAGCTAAAAGGCCTGGAAATGCTACTTATTGGTAGGTACGAGGATGATGACAATAAAAATACTTATTCTGCCCACAGTATTTTGTGTATGATCTGAAAGCAAAGGGGATTATTTTTTTTTGTTTCCTCTGACTGCTTTCAAATTCCATTTCAGAAAAATCAGAAAGGTATGTCCTTATCCTACAGAATTTGCCTTGTGTGAGCTTTCCAACCTGTTACTTATCAAAAAGTCATGAAGTGGTTTTCCAGCCAACTGTAAATCATTAACACTGTTAAATTGTGTGGGGTGAAGACTGAAGGTATTATACACTTCTCTTCGTAATTTGGAAAGTCAGAATTTGTCTTCTGTTCCCCATAGCTTTACTACAAATCCTTTTTAGCTTGCAGGATATACTTTTGAAAACAAAACACCAGTTGTGAATGTAGTGATTAGCAGATCGACAATATGAAAGCATAAACCTGAAAGGAGACTGTGTTAATACCTGCTTTATAAAAAAACAGACATCATACCTTCGTGTGATACTTCAGCTGCAGTACTGTAGCCTGGCACACATAGAACATGTCCATTAGCTTTTGTTTAGGATTACATAAAATTACCATGTCTGTTAACTCATCTGTTCCCTGCCATCTTGTGAGCAAAAACCAGTATGTAATGATTCTCATCTTTGTGGTGGACACAAGAGCGCAGCCTGTTTCATCAAGAAGCTCGAGGATAAAATATTCTAACCAAATTAAACTTGCAGTTAATCTAAAAGCACTCTGATAACTCCAAGGGAGACTTTATGCAGTTTACTGCTTTCAGTATTCGTGTTTGTAAATGTATCTCTATTTTAATCTTTGGAGTTGTGAGTCTTGCTACTCCAAATGGGTGCACTTATGACTATTTAAGTGCTGTTTGGAAAAGTTCTTAAAACTCTAAATAACATTCCAGGTGTTTGCCTAAGCTTTTGAAAGGTATCTTTGCTGGAAGAACTTGATTTTTACTAAAGGAAAGGAGGTTCCAGGATAGAACAGAATGTGACTCGTGTACTTTGTTTTGCTTCAGAACTGAACACAAAATCAACCTGTTTTGTCCTTGGCAGGTCTGCTGGTGAAACTGGCCAGCCATGAACGATTGATTATAAATAGAACTACATTCCATTCTGTTTGTAATTGAGAGCACTGATACAGCAGCCAGAACAGGCACGAGATTGTTGAACTGGCTGTTGCCTTATACTTCTATAAGTAATAACTAGACAGTGTTTTGTGAGGTTACAAGACTGAACTGCAGTAAACTTTTTCTAGAGTGTGATGCAATGCTACAATCTTCCTTATTATGCTTTCCAGTAAATCAGTGTCCTTGAAATATGACCTAAATATAACTGTAGTCAGCTACTGGATTTTTTAACATTTCACTTAAGAGTACAGAAATAAAGACATGAAACACCTAATGAGAAAGTGGGGGCAGGCAATAAAGAAATCCTGACGTATATATTGTGGTGGGCCACAACCTGTGGTGGCTGAAGGTAGGAAGAGTGTGGTTGTCACCGTCTGTACTTAACCTGAAGTTCCATTCTTTTTCAGTTTTGCAGTGAATGTCATTGAAACCATATCTTGCTTTCTAGCTAACCTGAATGTTCCCCTAAGAGATACAAAGCCCTGGCTAAATATCAGCGTTCTGTAAGCCTTAATTGTTTTTGATAAAATTCCTTACTAAAGGAGAGAGAGGAGGGAGAGCAACTGTATGGATAGACCTGTATATAAATCATCAAAATGAAATATTGACATGTACATAGGATCCTGCTGTGTAAACCCACAAAAGGTACATGTTGGGGGAGGGGTGGGAGGCAGTGGGCAGGTGGGAGAGGGGAAGAAAGGAGCTGAAAAGGTGGAAAAAATCGTAAGAAGTACCCAGCTTTTCAGTTAATGCAGTATTTTCCCCTTCCCAGTCGGGGGGTGGGGGTGGGGCGGGGTTTATCATAAAATATATGTTTATCTCTGGGGACTGGTTGCTGAAATTTTCAGCGGTACTTTTAAGCTTAGGAAATTCTTACTTCAAAATTAGATCTGTCTTTATTTTGTGTTTAAAATAAAGGAAAACAAAACTTCAAGGAGTATGGGCATTTACCATATGCTAAATTAAGAATAGTGTACTTTGGAGAAGGTGCAAATATAAGATCCTTCCCTCCAAGTATTCCTCCCTTACATCAGTAGTGCTTTGAAACACTTAAAAAGACCAAAACTGTGGCATCCAAACCTGACTCATAACAACATGTAACTACACATTTGGATTAGCACACTAGCCAACTAAATTTAGTGTAATAGAAGTGCTGTAGGAGGTGATAATTCCATTTAAGTTTTACTTTCGCTTTTGTGTCAAATTCAGTTTGCAGACAACTCATTAGAAAGAACAGAAAGATGTTCAATTGTATTACCTGCAGGAAAAAAAATCCTTCTGACTCAGTTTTCATTTTTAAACATGGACAATTCTGGCGATGTCTGAGATAATGTGTTTTTCATACCTGTGGCTTAAGCTAACCTGTTCCTATACTGTCTGTTCTTTGAAGTTAGGAACTATTCATCCGGAGTTATCGTACATGGTGGCTTCCCGGCTCATGTTTTCATGCTTTTATTTTTTGTGTGAGAAACTAAATTTCTTCTGTGGAAAATATGTATGCAATACTTCCTTTAACTGAATAAAAATAATTACATAACTGTTACATCTGAATGCAGTGACATTGGATGTGAGGACTGCAGCATTACAATGTTATAACCAAAAATGTTATACCCTTTCATTTTACTGTCTCCTTATATCTTTCAGTTCCGGGGGACTTAGGTAATCAGCTGGAGGCAAAATTAGATAAGCCATCAGTAGTGCACTATCTCTGCTCTAAGAAGACCGACAGCTATTTTACACTGTGGCTGAATTTAGAATTGCTCCTGCCTGTCATCATTGACTGCTGGATTGATAATATCAGGTAAGGCCAGATCTGTTGCTCTTTGCAGTTATCCCCTTTCCCTAAGCTGATCTGCTTTGTACAGAACTGCCACCGTAAGTTTCTTTCATTGATTCAGTGAGAGAAATGACTTGGATTTCTGCTAGGCAGAGTAACAGGCTGAACTGGAGGATGTGGCTCTGCATGTGCAGTAGCTCATCATCCCTGAAAGAAAATGAGGTTCTCTTAGTTTCTGCCACCTCCCTGTACTACCAGTTACCACATGTTGGCTTGGGCACTTACCAGGCTTCTGTAGGCTTATCTAAAGCAGAACATTTGCTGCTGTTTTGATGAGTTACTTAAGTTTTGATGAGTAAGTGGGAAGGAGGTTCATCGGGCAGCTGAGAGAGGCAAGATAGGATTGTGAGCTTGCACTTTTCCTGGCAGTATGTCGTCAGAGCAGTTTTGTGGGCAGCTGAGATGCCTGGGATCCTTTAAGTGCAGTCTAGAAGTTTTACCAGAATTACTTTAAGTATTGACAATTTGTAGAGCCAAAGTTTATGGGATATTTTATCATTTATTGCTTCATTAATGTTAATGTAAAAATCATAAATATCTATAAGGAAAAGAAATATTTAGCTTGTGCAATTAAAAAATACTATATTGGCATGTTCCTCTTACGTGAATGTATTGAGCTTGTTGGCAGTATAACTTTAACATAGCTTTATAGGGTTGATCACTGTAACTATAAGTAATGGATTTGACAGAAACTCATTGCATGTGAAAGGCCCTGACATGGGACTGAAATCCAAAATCCCTTTCTCCTTTTTGGGATGATGAAAATCACAGTATTGCAACTAGCGATTAAATCTTTCTCCATAATGAAATTACTGCAACTTCTTATGCTATGGAAAGACAGCTTTGCAGTGCCTCCTCAATAAATATTTTTTGCTTCTCTTGGTTAGGCAGAATACCCTGTGTCTTTTCTATGGTTTTATGGGTGGTAACACTGGGTATTCAAGGAAAGAGGAGTATGAAAAATGTGAAGGCTTCCAAGAGTAGTGTATGAATGCATTCAAGAATGCAACACCATGTGAATGTGTATCAGCACTTTAAGTTGCAATTAGGAATTCAGGAGCCAAAGCATGACTGCATTTGTTTGGAGTGTGCTAAAACTGATAAGCTAGAGTACTTGCTGGAGGTCCCAGGTTGTGTGCATTGCAGTATTAACTTTGACATAAAAGGACGTAAATTTTTTAAAGATGCAGAGCAGAAATTGACATAGAGGCTCAGTCTTTATCTTCTGTTTTGAAATCCATTTGCAAGAATGGGAGGAAGGGCATCTTGCCACTGTGTTGTGACATCTTAAAAATAATCTGTCGCTCATTTTCCATTTTGAACTTTGTGTGGCTTCAGAGTAATTTTTGATCTTAGCCTCTTCCAAGTAATGTTATGTCTCCAGCAAATCTCTGCCTGTAGCTTTGTGAGTACTATAAACATATGGACCCAAATATATTCTATAATGTAAATAGAATGCCAGAGGGATAAGTCACTTGGTTTCTTAGCTGAAAACTTGGATTTAAAAATCTTTCTAAACTCAATGTTCCTTCTGTCAAAAATAACGCTTTGTATCTTTCCTAACTAGCTTTCATCGTGTTACTTGTACATAGAAAATTGATTCTGCATAGCTAATTAGTAGCAGCTTAGCACTTTCTTTTGAAAGACTAAACAGATCTACCACACAAAGCAACAAAGGGGAAAAACAAGAACAGTGATTGCAGAATTTCAATTTTTGTGGGCCACTGGAAAATCAATGTGAAGTTTTAAATTTGATGCTTTACATTCTGTAGCCTGGGGAGGGGGAATTATCTAAAAACCACTTCGTGCCTACATGTGTTACCTGAGTTATCAATCGTTGTTAGTCAAAAAATATCAAATGCTTCCTTATGTTGGTAATTAAACACAATGAATTATTTTTAACTAGGGGAATTCTTGTTATCTGATTTTTTTAAAAGGTATTTTATCTTCTGCTGCCGCACCTTTTGTTCTTACATTCTTGACAAGTTTTCTCCATGTTGTGGCTTGATGCAAGGTGAAATGGTATAGAGCTATACTACGAAGCTTATGTTGTTCTGAAATAGAAGTCTAGGCATAATTCTGTATTCCAAGATTAAAAGAGAAGATATGCTGAATCTAAAACTAAATACTAATTAGAATAATTGTTTACATTGTAAAACCACTTAGCCATTAGAGTACTCTTATGTTTGCCTGTGTTTTTTTTTTTTTTTACTTCTGGGTAATAGCACTTAAAGTTCTTGTTACTGCACTCAGTGAAAGACCTAACGTAGCTGAGAGCTGTCATGTGGTAATACGACATGCTTCATGTTTCTGTTTTTTTTTTTTTTCTTCCAGGCTGGTGTATAACAGAACAAGTAAGGTAACGGAACCACCAGATGGAGTGGATATCAGAGTCCCAGGCTTTGGGCAGACGTTTTCTTTGGAATTTCTTGACCCAAGTAAAAGGAGTGTTGGTATGTAGAAGCATATTTGAAATGCTTTGTCACTTGTAGGATTTCTAGTGTGTCTTTATATAACAAACCACTGAAATTTGACTTCAAATTGAGTTCTATTTACACGTAGAAATACTTTTTTTTTTTTTTTGTAGTAGAGTAGCTGCATTACTGTGTTTGGTTGCAGTTTCTTTTTTTTTTTTCCAGGAGTCTTTCAGAAAATACTGGTAACCTTATGTGAGAAGTTGTTAGCTGTGGCTAATGGCTTAAGTAATTTAATAGCCAGTAATGTGCTGAGCTTCACTGTAGAATGGTCCCTGATAAATTGCATGCATTTCTTTTTCTTTTCCATAGTGAGCTGTCTCCAAAAGGGCACTACTGTGCTTGGTGATCTTCACTTCATAAACCTTATAACTAGAACAGGGCCATATTTAAAACTGCCTCTGTCTGTTTCAGGGACAATCAAGCATTCAAGACTAAGGATTGAGGCATTGCTCAAAATGTAAATATGGCTGTGATATTCAACAGGATGTTTTGACATTTCACTTCCTAAAGTGTTACTAGGTTCCCTTAATTGTGGTAATACTTGCATCCTATGTTTCAAAACCTGTAATACATAACATCTTAACACAGATACTTGCAGTCAGTCTGCGAGTGTTTCCCTTCTTTGCTTTTGAAGCTTTATGTTCTGTCTCAGTCTGCTAACTGATGGATAGGAAAATAACTTTGGGTAGTTTCTAGTTTTGCCCTGGGGTATGCTGTGAGCTTTTTGTTTCTAATAATAAAAATTGATACAGAATTTGCCAACGTTTATGAATGTATTATATGCCATAACTGAAGTCCATCTTCAATCAACATAAGATAGAACTGTAATATAGTAATTTCCCTTCTAAACAGTTCAAGGGCCAGTTATGCTGAGGGAAAAGTTGTCCCTGCTGTGTATGACATCTTTTGCTGTGGCCAACTAGGAAGAATTTTTTTAAGAAGAGTAGTTTTTCTTTTGGGGGACAGTAAGCATAAATCATTTTACTTAATATGCAGCTTTTTAGATTGTCAGCTTGATTAAAGTTAGGGTTTTAATGTCTATCAGTCTATAGAGTCGTAGGTAATGCATCCAGAACTCACATTGTAATTGTATGATGGCTGCTTCTAATGCTGATCTCTTCACTGTTACATTTCCCTGACTTTATGTCTACAGGCAGCTACTTCTATATGCTGGTGCAGAGTTTAGTAGACTGGGGCTACACACGTGATGAAGATGTAAGAGGAGCACCTTACGACTGGCGAAAGGCACCAAGTAAATTTCTTGTTTGTTCAAACTTTCTTGACTCTCCAAGCAAGCAAAGAGTTTTGGGTCCTGTCCCCCCATCCTAGTTATAGTATTATACTTAAAACCTTATTTTTAACTAGTTCTTAGGGCCTTAGTACCCCTAGACTCCGATGAAAGCTCTGTGGTATGGTCTTTTTTTTTTCCTCTAAATGATTTGCTACTTAAGATTTGCCTAAAAAAAATGAACAACCAAAACCCACCAAATTCCACAAAACCACCCCTCCCCATGGTGCATTAATAGTGGAATTTCTAAACTCTACATTATCAATCTTCAGAAAGAACTTTGCTAAGGGTATCACTTTGCTGATGCTGGTGTCATACCAAAACTAGCAGAACTGCCTTAATTATATCCTGAGGAATAAATTGTATTTAGTGTCCTTAAAACTGAACAATGAGGGGTGCTGCCTACATTTTTAAGTTTGTTTTTATGTAAGTGTTAGAACATAGTACTTTTCATCTTATTCTGTTCCACATTAGCACAAGTGGTGTGTAGATTCTTCACAGCTTGTGAAGCATATTGAAGAAATAGTATATATGTTTTATTAATACTAATATTCTAGTATCAAGTTCACTTTGGCCCACAAAACTGAAGCATGTAACCCTGGCATCCAGGAATACTGCCTGAAGGAAAATCAATAACGATGGCTTTTGTTTCTGATGTGACCGCTTTAAATTTCTGTTGCAATTGACACATAGAATTGGTATCTTATTACAGGGTTATAGAAAGGTATTATTGATCTTTTTTTCCCCCTCTTCATTTTAAAGCTCATTTCATTACATCTAATAGAAATGAAGTATACTGTGCCAGCAGGAATCTGCAAAGACTCTTATTTAGGGATAACTTTGCTTATAGAAGATGTGTTGTTAAAAGGTTCATACATACTTTAAAAGACTGATCTGACCTTTATTTGTACTTTCATGAAATGATGAATCTTCCTGGACCTACAAAACTGTTACATTTTTGGGGAAGAAAAAAAATATAATTCAGAGGAAGTTCAGATTTTTTTTCCAAAACTCTGCATTAGCACAATTATTTTAGACTCCAAATGAATTCCACTGTTGATTTTTTTTGTGGGAGGAAAATTAGCATTCCATCAGCATGGGATATTTCCCAGAAAATCTCATCTTAAATGTATTTTAAAGGTAGGAAAAAATGGAGTAATGTTCTAAAATATATTAGTTTCTTCCTACTTCTATGAAACAGTCTTAAAGCATCAGCCTTTCATAAAATACTGATGTAAAGATGCACTGGTTTTGATTTGCTTCAAAATATAACCTTTTAAATAATTGTGTTGAAGGATGGCAACGACAATTAGTGATTATAACTGTGTGACCTGTGTATTTCTCATTTAGATGAGAATGGAGACTATTTTGTGGCCCTTCGCAAGATGATAGAGTTAATGTATGAGCAGTATGGAAGTCCTGTTGTTTTAATTGCCCACAGTATGGGTAACATGTACACCCTGTACTTCCTAAACCATCAGACTCAGGAATGGAAAGACAAGTACATAAAGGACTATGTGTCATTAGGTGCTCCCTGGGGAGGAGTGGCTAAAACTCTCCGTGTGCTGGCTTCAGGTAGGTAATTTGAGGGTTTGCGGTGCATTTCGTAAGTAGCATGAAATACACTAAATAGTTTACTGTAAGACCAGAGGATGAAAGTAGAAGGTACTATGAAGTTAAAATATTTTTTGTAAGTGGTGTCAAGTTGATGTCTCAAGTTCTGTGGCCAGACTGTCTTTCCATTCATGGGAATAGACCAAGTTTGTACATCTCTTAACTAGGAGCTGCATCCCCTCTTAACTTTTCAGCAGATGACACAAGCAGCTGCTGTTTGACCTGCTGCCTCTTATTTCTGTCACTTCTGCCCACAGCCTGCCTGTTCTCTGTCCAGTATTGCTAAGCCAACATGGACTCTAGAGCATTCAGTAGTTGCCTTTGATTAAATATCATACAGCTGCTTGATATGAACATGAAGGGGAACTGGTACATGCAATGAAGTGGTGTGGTGCCTGGAGCACAGATGCCTGCTGAAGTTATAGCTTGGTTTAAAAAAAAAAAAAGTCTTTCACTATGCAACTGCAAACAACTGAGAGAAAGCTCAGTTACCACATCATGTTACACCATTACTATTTCACAGCAAAACAACGTTATTGTGTTTTTAGCATTTAATTTGTGGTGTTTCTGTCCTGCTGTTTCCTTGCTTTTGTTTGGCTAGCTTTGGTTATTAGTTGCTTCCCAAACAAAGCTGACGTCAGAAATGGGCTTCATCAAAATGCAGAGCACACAGCAACTGCCAGCCATGCATGGACAAATCAAAAAAATTCTTTGCTTAGCAAAGAAATTTGATTCTGAACAGGAATGCACAACTCAGTTATTTAAAATATATATGTATAGATACATTAATTCAGATGTTCGTATTGAGTTGTACATTGTTTACTCTATTGCAGTGGCACTGTAAGATATGATAAAAAATAAATTGACTTCCTTCTTTCCACAGGCTTTGTCTGACAAGTTTGTATGCTATAGAAAGGGCAGAAAGTGAGCAATGTTAAGAATAGCTTCATAAAATTTGAAAAGACTACACAATTTCAGTCTCGGATTCCCTTTGAATTAAATTTCAGTGCTTCATATTTTGTCTATCCATTATAATGCATCTCATCCGAATTAGCTAGCTACATACATCTAATGAATAGATTCTTACTAAAACATAATCATCTCTTAATTTGTATGTCTGTAGTATTGAACTTCATGGTTTGGAGCAGAAAAGTCAAGATGTAGGAAACTTAAGAGGCATAGTATAGTATCATACTATACTATCTGTATAGCCCATTCTTAGGCTAGTTCTGTCTCCTAAACATTTGTAGGTAAAAAAAAAAAAATCACCATCAGGTGTTAATGTTTTGATTACATTAGTCTGGCTTGTTTCTGAAACTATCAGGATACTGGCATGCAGAAGAATTGTTGCTTTAGCAGAAATACTGCATTCCTGGAGGAAACATCAGGCAAGCTTTCTTCAAGCAAAAATGCATTCTGTCTGTTCCCATTCCTGTTTATAGTATGTTAATGGCTAGGACTTGATATTAAATCCATGGTTGTTATCCAAGTGGCAAGCAGCACTCAAGTGGAAATTTACTGTCTCTAGATCTTCTGTGTTGCTTACTGCTACATATTTAAGTGCTTCACAGGATCGGTATTTTTATTATAACAATTATATTGCCAATAAAATGAGGATGCTTTTCCTGTTTTACATATGGCAAGCATAGATGCAAAGTTCACTTGTTCTTTTTTCTGATTGTCAGCTTGAAATGCTGACAACGTTGTCTTTAGACCTAATATTTTATATACCATAATGTCGGTGTCTGCTCTGGTGTTAAGTGTGGTCTTGACCTTATAGTACTTCTGCACTTCAGGAAAACGTGTAAGATTTGATAAGCAGTTCTGAAAGAAAAGGCTGGAGTAGAGTGTCAGGTTCTGTACTTGTTTATTTCAAGTAGAATAAACAGCTTGGTAGACTTGTCTAATTTTTAGGTTTGGAACTCAGGATTTCATTGCTGAAAACTTACAAGTAGTATTTGGTATCTTAGTGGTGAGTGTGCACAGCTAAGTATTTACAGCACACAGTAATGTGAAATGCATTTAAGGACTTCTGTAATTCTTGCTGTGCTCTCTTGAGTTTCCTTTCTATCTGTTTCCCAGGATTATTCTCGTAATGTCTCCATGCAATCCTCCTGAAAATGGCAGTAAATACTGTGCTTTAGCTTGTCTTCCTGAACCGACAGTGCCACCTTATGGAATTGAAAAATACATGCTTTGGTGCTGTTTCAGGAACAGCAGTTTGGTATTTCGCTTTTTAAGGTTCTGTTGACATGAATAACAACATGCTGTAACTACTTGAACCTAATAATAAAAAATCAGATTCAAGTTTCAGCTGACAAAAGAATTGAGATGTGCTAGCCACTGTGATAGAAAATAGGTCAGAACAGTCACCATAAAAAAAAAAAAACACCTCTGATCTCAGAACTGTTTCAAAAAAAAATAATTCCAAAAATAAATGCATACTATTTATTAAGTGGCTTTTAATTTGGGGGGAGAAAGACACAAGTAGTGGTTACAATCTGAAGAAAGCACATAAGTTATAATTTAATCCCATGTTAATTTGATCCATCTTTAGAACAGACTGCCAAGAAAAATGTATAGTCTTGATGTCAACAACAAAAAAATTATTCTTCAAATGTTTTGATCAAACACTAATATACTGTATTAAACCTAAATGGGATAAAATGGAATCATTTTGAGGCTTATTGGGTGTATGATAATTCAAGACCTTTAAGGTAGCAGTGCTCTTGGGTTTGTCAGTCATTCATAGTCATTAACTTGTACGTGAATCTGTAAGTTATTGGAAGTTTGCAGAAGTTGATTGCTGAGACAATCAAAAAATGAAAAACTTCTTCAATTTTCAGTGTATGCAAAGGGAATATTTTTTGATTTATCACTGAGTGGTACTAATTGCTTCTGGTTATGAGATCATGCACTGTCTTATGTATAATGTAATTTTACCTCTTTTTATTTTAAGGTGACAACAACAGAATACCTGTCATCAGTTCACTCAAGATTCGAGATCAGCAGCGATCAGCGGTTTCCACAAATTGGATGCTCCCCTACAACTACACATGGCCTCCAGATAAGGTCTTCGTAACCACACCTACGGCCAACTATACCCTTCGGGATTACCAAAAATTCTACAGGGACATCAATTTTGAAGATGGCTGGCTCATGAGACAAGACACTGAACCCTTGGTCTACCAGATGAAACCACCTGGTGTGCGCATACACTGTCTTTATGGTACTGGCGTAGAAACACCAGATTCCTTCCATTATGAAAGTTTTCCTGACAAAGAGCCCAAGATCATTTACAGTGATGGGGATGGTACAGTAAACTTGCAGAGTGCCTTGCAATGTCAAAAGTGGGTGGACATGCAAAAACAGAAAGTGGTGGTATTTGAGCTTTCAGGAAATGAGCACATTCAAATGCTATCAAATGATACTACTATCTCTTATGTGAAAAAGCTGCTTTTTAATTTGTGATACCTTGTGTTGACAATTATTTTCCTCACCTGTGATGCCTTCCCTTAAGTAAGGGAAATGCCTTTTAATCCCTTGGTATTTAGTTATTTGAATTATTTATTTTGTTTTTTTTTTTTTAAGGTTGTGTTCAAGAAGTTGGTTCGTGTCCTAAATGGTTGTCTCTGATGTATGTTCATGATGCTTCATGGTGTTTTCATATTCTGAAAACCTGGTCAAATATGCATTTTGGTGCCTCCAGTATTGTGTCCAGTATTCATACAGACCTTCATTTGGAGATTGTGCAGCCCCTTGCACGTACTACATGATTTCTCCTTTGTGTGGCCTTCTAGGGTTAGGAGTAGGAGGGCTGGGAAGGATTGCAATCTGACTCCCATGAAACAAGGGAAGGATATTAATAACTTGAGAAGCACAGCAAATTCCTTCTAAAGGGTCTTGCATATTCTGATCCATAGTTCCCACTGCCTTAGTTTGTAAATGTACATATCTACTAGGTAAGATAGACAAGAGGTCTGCCAGATACTGGATGACCTTTTGTCATATCCAGCCTTTCTTTTGTTACAGCTTCTTGGGGAAAGATAATGTGTTAATTATTTTAAGGTTCTCATCAGGTACCTTTTTTCTTAAGAGGAAAAGTTGTTTGCTTATTGACTTCTAGAGCCTAATGATTTAATCAGGAATCTGAGGATTATTATCCTGGTGCATTATTATCCATGAAGGAAAGAAGTTCAGCTGTGGCTGGGGCTTGCAATACCCTTCTTTAGCTGTGTAAATTCTTTAGCATGTAAAGTAAAGCTAATACAATTGAGTGCAGGCAAACAATACATACAGTGCAGAATTGCACTTCAGGTTGCAAAAGATCTCCAGTAGTGGAAATGATAATGGATGGTGGGCATTCATTAAAATGGAAGATGAAATAGGGCATGGAGTGGAAGCCAGTGTAGCACTAGTATAAAATACAAGCCTTGTTCTCAAATACTTAAGCTCTTATTCAGTTACTGGACAAGCAGTGGTTGGATCAATGTTGCCCTCAGTTGAAAAGGAACTTCAAACTTCAAAACACGATCTATGGGAACTGAATTTGAGTTATATAATTGCTGTTTTAAGAAGTTGAGATCTCAATTTCTGTTCCTTAACTGTTTAGATAATTGCCAAACATGCAACTCTGTTACTACAGTACTGTTTTATTCAGTGTTTAGAAAAAATATTTCAGCTTTGAACTACACAAATGATGGCATAAAGGCCATGGTATTTATAACCTTGATTATAGAAGTCCCACTGGAAAAATGTCACTGGAAGATTCTTCTTGCTTGCTTTAAAACTAGCCACCCAGTTGGACTCTATTTAGTTCTCAGAAAACAACTTTGAATGCTTTCAAAATGCTACGTCTTCCAGGAAAAAGGAGTTCTAAAAACTCATGAGAAGCATTAAGGATTCACTACTTATGAAACTGAAGTTCTCTGAAGGGTAAACTTTAACTATTTTTGTAGCATGCATAAAATGCCTACTACCATCAAATATAAGAAGAAGGTATGTTGAAATGACAGGTTTGAACTCTTATTACCGTAGGAAATATTTTTGGCACAGGAAGTAGGTTTAAAGCTTTAAATTTAATTTCTGAAATGATTTGTAAATCCAGAACAACTCCAGCTAGGGTCATGGATAAGCTAAATATCTTCCTAGGATTCTAACTTGCTTCTGTAGCTTCACTTTTCCCCTGCGTTTTTCCCTGTTACTTTGGTTGAGGGAGAAGACACTTTTCTGATGTTAAAAATGGAACGTGTATCTTGTCATCAGTTGCCTGGGAACCTATATTTCAGCAGCTATATTGTCTGGACTTCTCCAGAGAAACTACTGTGCTGTCCCGAGCCACTTAAAATTGGTTACTGCTGAAATGAGGAGGGGTGGGAAGCAGGCAGCACACAAGTCCTTCAGCCAAGTGTTCTACTTTGTGCAGGGCTGTCAGCTGGTTAAGCTTCAGGCTTGTGTTCCAAGACTGCTCAAAGATGAAGCTCTTCCTTGTGGTCTGACTCAATTTGTGAATAAATTGATATGTTACTGGTTTGCAACAGAAAGAAATTAGGCAACAGTTTTTCACAATTTATTTCTTGCTGAAGTAGAATGCCTGTCAATAAGCACTTGAATGAGTGGAGTTGGAGGCTGTATTGCAGGCCACCAACATCAGCACCAAGGGCTGAGAAATGAGAAAGGAACGTAGGCAGACAGTTCTTAACCTCATCTGGAGAATGTATCTAAGTTTCATTTAGCTCCTTACCTGTTTAATTAATCACATTCTCAGTCTCATACGAAGAGTTTAGCTTGAAGTTCCAAAATATGTTGTTCTAGAAGATGCTTTTCAAATTTTAATTTCTTTTGGGTACAAAATTCTTTTCTAGTTTTTGGGATCTAATATTGTTTCTGAAATCAGTTGACTACATCTCTTGACCTGAAGACTTGTAAACCATTAATCTATATCCTTAGCTTTCCATTAGTGGACAAGTCCAATAGTGTCTGTGCTTGTGTCTTGTTAGCTATTCTGGTAAAAATGATGAATATGAAAGTTTTTCAGGCCTTGGTTTTGGCTTTCTATTTGTTACTATGAAATATTGTCTGAGAATGTGCAGACTTAGCACAAGCACAGTGCTTCTGAGTTTGATCTGATGGTTCTGCAGACTGTAGCTCTGTTTTACGTTCAGAACCTCTGATTTTTTTTCTGCCAAACTATCTTCAGCCCTTTAATTTTCTGTTTCTTGCATATTGGGATAGACTTGTGGCTGTGAAATGAATGCAGCAAGCTACATTACTCTAATCACTGAAACTGAACAACTTCACTCAGCCCTTTGAGAAGTGCTTACTCAGGCATATTCCTCTACAAGGCAAGAGTATTCAGCATTCTTCATAGGCTTGCTACCGCCATGTAGCACTTGAGCATTCTAGATTTTTGTAAGAAGAATTACATCTTAAAGGGAAGAGGGGAATGTGAAAGTTCCTTAAGAGGAGTAATTCTGGTGCTTTGCCACATTGCACAGTTGAAAACTTTGATTCTACTGACATGTCTTTGTTACACTGAACACATATGGATCATGTCTCTCTCTTTCCATAACTTCTACTAGGTTTTATTCTTCCAGAATATTTTCAGAAACCAAAAATAGTCTTGAGGACCAAATGTGTTTATTTTTGACAATGTATAGAAAATGCTGAAGGGACTTTCAGCTGTCGTTGTAATACTTCTGAAGTGGCTCAGAGTCACTATGTGATTCTGTTTAAAACACAGAAGGCTTCAACAACTAGCAATAATTGCAAAGGACTTGCAGACCAAAGGAAGGAATGTTTGATATTAAGGTAGTTCTTGGAGCACAGTGTGTTCGAGGCCCTTGTAAATTCAGGGAATGTTTGGCAATGACTTTGCTGCTCTACATTTAACAGTATTTTGTATGGAACATATTCTGAGACCTAACATTTTATATGCCCTTTTTGTGTATGAATGCGGTCAATAGATTTTGAATATTTTACTGTTATACTTTGATAACATAATAAAGTTGATCTAATACAGCCTGTGTTCTGTTGTGAATGTCTCGCCTCTCAGATGCAAGGTTAAATTGCTGTAGTTCTTTTATTCAAGAGATTCTCGAGGTGTCTCACTTTCTCACAATTGTTTCTTGGCTCGTCTTCCGAATACACCTGTCTTCTGATGTTATGTCTTCCCCCCAGTACATTTAAAGCTCTCTTGTTAATTGTTCTTTTGAGATGTGGGGCTGAAATTACTCAATTCCTTTTTGCTTGCTTCTTTCTTGTTCATCTTCTAAGCAATAAAAGTTCTCAGGATGCTCCATGCTTCTTTTCAGGTCACCATTTTGAGCTTAGTCCCTCAAACTTGAAATGTCCTAGATGCTAGCAATTGTCTTTATACTGTTGGCTTCCAAACTGATGCACAAATCCATGCAAATTGCCCACATGGCTTCACAGTTGCATAAAACCTTTTTTTTGCAATTAAAAGAAGCGCACTGTGGTTCAGTTGTTAAGTTTTAAGCATAGGGAATAATTCAGCAGGGCAAAAACAAAAATAATCAGAAGTTAATTATCTATGTTGTTGAAGTGTTCTAAAAGTTTGTTGGGCAAGCATAAGTCTGCTGCTGGCTTGTCAGGATGCCTCACTGCCCTGTGGTATAAGGAGATGGGGAAAAAAAGATAGTCCTAAAATTTGCCTTGTTAGGGCTTTTTTCATGTGGTAAAGCCTAGTACAAGATGAATATTAGGAAGTGATGCTCCTCTCAGTGCCCTAGTCCCTGGGAATTGGACATCTCATCCCATTCCAATTTGTTTGTTTATGCCTATGTTATCTTCAAGATAAGGTGATGTCACATGACTTCAGGAGGAAGGGGAATGTGGCCTTCTTCCAGCTCCCCATTAAAATGTGGAAAATCCTGTATTACAGCACTTCGTTAATTCTTAGAAGAAGCTGGAAAGTAGAAGCAGAGGCTGAACCTACGGGGGGTGGTAATAGAATATTGATGCAAGACCAGTGCTAGGTTGTCACACATCTTTTAAATCAAAACCTTGTATTTACAGATTACCTGATGCTATTCTGTTGTGCAATCTCACAATCTCAAATACTTGCTTTGAAGGAAAAACAGTTTTCAAAATTATGCTGAATTTCTCATTTGCTTCACCTAGTTTAATGAGAATTAAATCAAAATGTTCTGCTCCTGAATCAGCATCCTTCAGGCAAAAGTGCAATGCAGTATGAGCCAAGGAAATCAAAGAGGTCTGTAAGTTATGTTTGACCTAAAATAATGGTGTTAAGCTTGTCTTAATGGTTTGTCTACATTTAAGTCACTTGCCAAGGTGTAACACCAGAGTTCCTGAGAAGAATCTTCTAATACTGATCCTTCACTACTGTTCACACTTTGTGACCACTTAAAGGTACTCAATGTAGCTCAGTTTTACCTCCAGCTAGCAATCATAGAATATAATTTGTTATTTTTAGAAGTGTTTCTGAGTATGGCGGCAAATTCCTAAATTTAGGGTTTTAACTGAAGACTGCATAATAAGTTATAGGGGCTGTGAAGAGCTACTGCTAAAAACAAAACAATAAAAAAAAAAAAGGTCACTTTAAATGTAAGGGTTCTAGAAAGCTAAACTATAAATAAAATATTCCTGTGGCCTTGTAAGATGTTAGTGGCTATTGTTATTTTACTGAATTAATCCATTTTTGCACTTTGTTATGCGGGTGCATAAATACTTGACCCAGTTTAAAGAAAAAAGTCAAGAAAAGCAAGTGGAAGAAAAAGTGAGCAGTCTCCTTGTGGAGAAAGGATGTTTAGCATGAAATAGTACGTGTGTTAATCAGGGCTCAGAAGCTGCGTAAGTGGAAAAGTACACTAAGATATAACACAACAAATAGCATTAACAAAACCAAGTCCTTAAAGAAACTTGAAAAATAAAATCTATCCACTGAAATGAATTCAAAATGCAAACAAAATACATTTTATTGCCTTAAAGGCAATCCAACTAGAAATTTAGCTGTTTCTCTTGCTGGTTAAATATTCCAACAGCCCAATTTATGCAATGACTATTAGTTTTGATAGAGTTAATGAATTTGAGGAAGTTGCATGTTATGCATATCCTTGTCCAGTCTTTACAACCACTGTTAAATGGCCTATTCCTGCAGTGCAGCTACAGATGGTTGAGCCTGTTTAATTGCACCTTTTCTTTATGCTCAGCTATTTCAGTTTCTCATTCTGCTTTTGACTTACTCCTCAACAGTAACGTGCTCTTTGTCAAAGATGAACATGGATTTTACTAATGCAATGGCCATCCAAAGACAGACTTTAAAGGCAAACAGACAGATTTCAAGGCAAATTACCTTTTCTCAAAAAAGTGATAAATATTAAAGTTTGGGTGCATGTTCTGAGCCTATGAATCTCATAGCTAACTAAGACTTGAAACAAATAAGTAAAAAAGTAACTATTCTGAACAGTAAAGCTAAATCACAATCTATTTTGTCTGTAATCAAAGCTTGCAGGGAAAAAGGCTGAGAGGCTGCTTCTAGTCATTTCCACAACAGTCCTAATCCTGTCTTTGCTGGTAACTTGCTACAGTGCTTTGAGAAGAACCTGATGGTCAATTTTATTTTTTTGGTTTTCTGTTTGTTTCAGGTCTACATTAAATTTAGGTGATGATTATACAATGCTTTGGAACATGCTACTATACTGACTCCTAAATGTTCAAAAACTACTCTGTATTTCTTTCTCTAACCGCATACAATTGTGAAGCTTGCTTACAAAGGCTGAATTTGTAACAGAAGAAAATGGGATGTTCTCAGTAGACAATAGCTTTTGAGCCTTTTGTTTGTTCATTTAAATCTATTTTAACTACAAGGACATAGAAACATAATGGATTTTAATTGGGGAGCAGGAGGGGGATTTACAGAATACTCAATGATACCATGATTCTGAGGCTGTAGCTGCTTTAATGAAGTCTCATGGAAATTTTTAGAAAACAGTTCTACTTTGTATGGAAATACTTGGGAAACTTGGTGTTCAAACACTGTATGTAGAATCACAGCTTTCCTCCTGGGATATGCTGCTGCTTCAGTTAAAATTCTGTGTGCCAGGGATTCTTAGGCCATCAAAATCAGTATTTATTTCATTCCTGGGGAATAACAATAGGATTTAAAGATGAATGGAATGCTGTCTGGAATGCAAACCTTGGCTATGGCTTTGCAGTACAGATATTAATGGAGCCACTAGAGGGAGGAGTATCTCAAAGAATGGTCAGTGGGGTGTCCTGGCTATGGATGGCAAAGCTTGGTCACGGCAGTGAAAGTGAAGGGAGAAGTAAAACATTACCTTCTCAAGCATGATGGAACCAAGGAACTTATCACTTATCACCTGACCTGAATCTATTTTATTTAATGACAGATTTATAGCATTTTGTCTTGCTTCTTCAATTTCCCTGTTCTCTGTTAGAAAGGGGTGATGTAGGAGTATGCAGAAAACTTTGTAATATTGGGGGATGTAAGCAGAGCTGAAGTGTCTTATGTCCTGCAGAAATCTTTCCTATACTGAAAAAAAATCGGTTCCTAAGAAACTGTATTAGGAGGATTAATGCTTAATTTGTTCTAATGTCATTTCTTTCAAGACTGGATGTAAGTGAGGTTCGCTAATAAGACACACACAGTTCTTTTCCATGAACTGAGGGTACAGCTTGAAGGCAGCAATACTTGGTTCATTTCACATCTGCTAGTTGTTTGCTAGAAGTGACTAGAGTGTGCTTTTAAGTCTGAGCATGACGTGATGATGTTTTTTGAAGTAGTTGGGAGCTAAAATATGGGAGAATTCATGCATACAGATGCTTGGCTTTCTGGTGATCTGGCTCAGATATATTGTGATTTTCTTCCAGAGACTTTTGAATACCTTTTGTTTTATAGTTTTGCTGTACAGATGGGCTGTTTTAAAGATAAAAATAAATGATCCTCATAAACATAAGAAGAATTAGGACTTTACAGTTTGGGTTGAATTTACTTGCTTTTGGGTGGCTTTCTGGTAGACCTGTGGGCAAATTACTTAAAAATGAAACCATGACTCGGCTTGGGAAATATGTCATTATATGCAGAAAAGTTCAAATTATCCAGTTTTTCTGCATGAATATCAACTCTTTCCAATTTACATTTTTGTCTGTTAAAGCTCTGCAGATTTCTCAGGATGACATAATGCAGCCTTTAATGGCTTATATTAAAAATTCAGTAGAGGGCACTAGTATATAACAGTTACAGGATTTGTTGGTGGTAATGTTGAAGAGCATGTGTGCTACTTTCACCTGAGAAGTCCAGGCAGGATTACATTGAAGATCTGAGATCTGTAAAATATGTCCTGGTTTTGGGCATTTCTATGCAGATTCTACTTTTAGAAGAACTCCAAATAGACAAGGATTGTTCTATCTAGATGTAAAAGGCAAGAAACTTCAGCTTGATTCAAACTCTGAGTGAAAGAACCTGAGACAAGAACTATATGTCCACTCCACTCTACATGCTTGGATTAAATCTGAAATTGAACGTTGCTGCTGTAAGTCCAAGCAGAAGCATGGCAGCTGTTCACCAACAACAGAACATACATCTAAGCTGTTAAATTTTAAAGATTTGTTATCTATCTATTGGGCACATACTTCTCTATCAACATATATTCTTTTTTCAATAACTAGACAGAGTATCTATATAAAGGTATTTCACAGTACTGTATACTGAGTATAAGGGAAAATATTAAATCTGTGAATGCAGCTGGATCTGTTTTCTTACTGCGCAGCTGAACAATGGACAAATCTCAAGTACCTCTAAGTTTTCACTTAACTTTTTACCACTGACTCATACTTAGTAACATTTCTGGGAAGGCAGAATTATTGACCATACTGTAATTGTGTATATAACTAAAAATGCCACCTTATGTGAGTAAAGTGTAAGGATCCACAAAGTCATCACGCCAGATGGCAAATTGAGCTGCATGAAAATGCTCTGCCTACAGGCTAGGTATTTTCATTGCTATCTTTGAAACTCT